CAGGTTGTGATAAACTGATTCCATGTTGTTGTAGAGTTGAGCTAAATCAAGATGATATGAAGGAAGAGGTTTTTTTGATTTCGAGATGTTTTTGATAATATGAAAGTGCATTCAAATAGTCTCCAATCTTATTATACAATAAACTGATGCCGCTGTACGAAGTAGCCAAATCAGGATGAAACGGAGGAAGCGTTTTTTTGCGAATTTCCAGTGCTTTTGGATGAGATAAAAGTGCATTCGAATAGTCACCAATCTTAACATACACCAAACCAATGTTATTATAAGAAGAAGCGAAATTCCGATGATCTGGAGAAAGTGTTTTTTTGTAGATTTCCAGTGCTTTGTGATGAGATGTAAGTGCATTCGAATTGTCACCGATCTTGTCATATACTAAGCCAATGTTGTTATAAGAAACAGTCAAATTGATATAGGTTGCTGAAAGAAGCTTCTGTTTGATTTCAATGACTTTTCTATAATAAGCAATGGCAGCTACATATTCACCTTGATCCTCATGAACGCATCCAACTTGGTGATAAATACATGCTTTTTCTCTATCAGTCGTGGCTTGATGAAGTATCACATCGTATACATCTTGAAGTTTGTCGTATTGTCCAAGTTTAATTAGCAATACACTCAAACGATCCCATCCTTCAAGATGAGGATTACTGTCTTTGCGCATTTGTTCAGTAAGTGCATAGAGTTCTGGTTCGTTGTCACTGGTCAATGTTAAATCAACTTGCCAAAGACGATTATTTCCATCGATTTATTTCATTCTTCCATTACGAAAGATGGAATTCATCGAGAAGAGAATTTCTTCTTCTCTTTTGAAATAACTGACTTCATGAACAGTAGCAAACGATGTTGATGGGACGGACGGATCAATTTTCATAACGAATAAAATGCCAACAAGATCCTATGATTGCATTGCTTTACAAGCAAAGTTGAGAGACATTTGACGCTGCATAATGGTGGATAAAAAATTATTAAATGATAAGAGTCTATTTTTGCTTTTGATCAATTGATCAAAGTCAACTCTCGATAGGTTTTGGCCACAATAAACAGTAAATGAGTTTTAAGTTGATTGTCTAGCAACTTAGTGAGCATGAAGTTTTGCGATATGGTGATGAAAAATCCCATCTTTATAATGAGATTAACCTTCATCATTCGTAATGATCGGTTGAACATAAAATACAAATAACATTGATAGATATCTCACCATATAGGGAGATGCATGTAGTATTCTTGTTCGAGTTTGTTGATGTGACGAAGTTCGTTCGAATTATCGAACAATATCACGACAGTACATAAGAAATTCATCGATATGATGTTGTTGACAGTGAATAATTAATAGGATTTCTTTCATTATTTGAATGTACATGAAGAATGGATCTAATTGATCCAAGTTTTGTTTTTGGCTTCCAATATTAGCCGACACACAACTGATGATGACAAAATTTTGATCGCATTTGAATGTAACTTACTGAAGCGCTTTACAGATTGAGTCAATATCTGTAAATATATCAGTTACTTTTGACCATTGTTTGACCCAATCTTCATTTGAAACTTGGTTCTCACTTAAAATTATACACCGTATTAATTTGTGGAATATCATGCACGATGGGAAAAGTTGGTTATGCGAAGGCATCGGTAAGTATTATAAATATTTCCTCTTTTTGAATATCGGTTATAAAATTGATGCACTTATTTACATCTGTGAAGAGATGTATCTCGTTAACCACTTCTTTTAATTTATTGATAATATTGATACAATAACTATGATTCTTATCATCATTATTGGAATCAAGCCACACCACTTGGAAGTTTTAAATCGTACGAGCATAAGGAGACTGCCGTGTCCTTATGCTCATATTTTCATATGGCATGGCAGCAGCAATTAGTGTAGTCGTTTTTAATTTTTGTCTATAATGTATGTTATGTTTGGTTTATGGAAAAATGCGAATAAAATGACTTGAATTTATATAGTAAATTGCAATAATTTTTAAGATTTATCTTTTTGTTTTTTTATTGTTGTTCTTACTCTAGTTCCTTTTTTTCATTTCACCTAAATGCTTTCCTCCTTTTTTATCGGTTCTCGTTTCGAATGCCACAAGAAAACGAATGAATGAAAAAAAAATTCATTGCAAAATAACGTCATAAACTGTGTCACGTTTCATAGTTTTTTCATTATGTCTGGAAGGTTTTTTCTCCTTCTCTTTATACTGTCATCAATAAATTTGTACATGGAAACAGAATAGTACAGAGTGTTGTTTGAAAATGCATGATAAATTCTTATTTCAGGGTTTTTTTTCTTTCTGCTGAATTAAAAATTCAATGTTACACGAGGTCCGTGAAAGTTTAAGTAGAAGGTTGTTTTTTGTTATTAAGAATGGTTTTTTTTTAAATGAAAAATCAATCAATTCTAACACAGCATATATAAAATACTTTTTCGCATTCATGTTCTCACACTCTTCTCAAGGAGACATTAAATGAAACTATCATCATTAATTTGTTATAAAAACGAGACGTAACGTTTCTGATATTCTCCTATGGTTTCGTTATTATATTGTTGTAATGTATATTTCATTGTAAAATTAGTTCATTTTCTATATCCTGAAATAGAAAAATCTGATTATGGACAATTTACTGAAATTATTTCGATTATTTCGCTATATTTAAACATAAGTTATTTGGTGAACATTCTTGTGTACTGAATTTTATCTATAATAGCTCTGATTTCAAGTTTACATAATATCATCGATACATCATTTGAGGAATATATGCAAGAACTACTGAATTAATCTTTAATATTTTATGAAAATGTCTAGATTTTATAATCGATGTCTTTTATTTTTATTCTACGTATGCATTAATTAGAGGAAAAAATAGTTAGCTAATATCTAGCGAGAAAATAAACTTCACAAATTTTTTTCTCTTATTTTAAACTGTTAACACTTGTGTTTTCTTATTGGAAGATCTTTCATAAAAATAAAATCTAAAGTTGTAGCATCATTAGAAAACGCCTGCCAATATCAAAATGAAATTGAGCAAAAAAAAAATCGTTTTTTTACTTGAGTACTCAAAAATTCTCTAGAAGGTGCTTATGGTATTACGATCAAAACAGTAAGGTAATTGAAAAAACGTATCAATATTTTTATTTGATTGAACATCTCTATTAAACAAGAGTATTTTTCAAAATTCTCTTCTTTAGATCGCAGATGGGTTCATGTATTTTATCTGGGTTATTATCCGCAAGCAACTATCCAATAAGTGATAGGCATTGTTTCAATTATTGATTTCGTTAGGTTACTCACTTTGAATCATAGATAAGAAAAGAATTGATTAAATCTTATCAATTAGTTTTCCAGCATCGCTAGTGTTCACAATGAAAAAAAACCAAAATCGTACATATACTGAAATTCCTATCAAGTATTTACCATAAGCTCCTGTTTGAAATCATATGGTCAAAATTATCGGTTGATTTGAGATAAATATGACTTCACAATAAATAGTTAAATTATTTTGCAATTGAACTCAAATTTTCGATTAAATTTTGAACTTAATTCTATTACCACTGATCAGTTTATCATATAAATAGAAATTTACTCACACACATATGCTTATGTTCAAATTCTTTTTATATGATTAGCTTTTGAAAATTCTCAGATTCCTTCAAGCTTTGAAATATAATGATGACATGTGCAAATCAACTTTTTTTTACTGTAAATTATATTTCTATTCTTTTTACATTTGCTCTTTTTTTTAATGTTTTGCATCAGAGTTACTTCGTTTGCAAAGCAACTATACATATAAGATTTGAACATTATCGTTTGATTGAATGCATCAAATTGATTTGAGCTGAATTCGTCATATAGAACAATATAAAAATTGCATTTTATACAACTTGACGGTCTTTATTTCTGTTTCCTAATAAAATTTTGTACAAAAACAACTGTTTAACAATGACAATTCACTTCAACGATGGAAAAATGTTTAAAAAATTAAAATAGATATATATATTTTTGTATTTTGAATTTCGATGTTATCTTTGGATGTTTTTTTCAGTGGAGTTCATTGTCTCACTAGTTTATCATACGAACAAGAAGCAAAATCAAAGAAAAGAAAAAAAAAAAAGAAAAGTTCGGATATTTCATTTTTTTATTAGAGTTTTGGAGCACCAGCAACAATACCATCTTCAATGCCGCATTCATTTTTACCACGGAGCATTTTAAAGAATCCTTTATCTCCCCAATCTTCATTCCATGCTAAAAGAGATGAATTACACAATAATTATCTAACATACTGAAAAAAACCTAATCAATTAACTTACAGTTAGCAACAAGCCAGTATGGTACTGAGTTTTCTACACCCCAACCAAGGATTTTGACAGCTGTAAAAGAAACAAAAATTATTAATTAAATCAGGAAGAAAAATATTAAAACAAATACAAACCATGTCCACCGAGAACTGAGCCAGATGTGTGTTTGTAAACACCAGATTTATATGTAAGAAAATCAGCATAGACGGTAAAAGCAGCTTCTACTGGTCCATTTTTGAAGAGTTCAGCTTGAATTTGTTTTGGATCTGAACGAACTGAATAAACACTGCTACCATAATGTTTGTCTTTAGAATATGGAGTTGGATAGCCATCAATACATTTTGTTTTACAAGGTGGTGTTGGTTGTTCACCTTGGCACTATATTTCACGCGACAATAGAAAAATTAGTGGAACAATATTTTGATTACAACTTACTGGAGGTAAACTTCCATTGACACTAAAAAATAAAGAAAAAAAAAAGCTTAAGTGAGAAAAACTAATATTATCTAAGTATAACGTACTGGTGATCGCATGCTGGAATTGTATATGGTTCACAACCTTCTTTTGAATTGTAGTTACCACCAGTAACTAAACCGTTACTTTTGTAATATGACCAAGCAGATTGTGGGAAACCACCGTCACATCCGAAACCACATTCATCACAACATGCTGAATACACGAAAAATATAAATATGATAATATAAGTATAAATAAAATACATACAAAGAAGATCTTCAGCTGAAATATGAGCATTTTTAGCTCCGCTTGAAACAATACAAACACGGTCAGACATAGCTTCAACAGCACCAAAGGCCCAGCAACTTCCACAACTACAAAAATTTTTAAAGTTTATATTTAAAGTTTATATATTAATGAAATATAAAAACCGACCTTCCTTGATCACGAACTTCTTTGATTGTTGGACAATTTGGCCATTGATCACGAGCATCAAAATTGTCTGGTAAATCATTTGGTACTTTATGTTCAATTGGTGTAAGTAATTTATGTTGTTCAAAATATTCTGGACGAACACCCATTAATCGTCTAACAGATTCTAATGACCATGACATAAATTTTGGTGGTGATGCTTTCCATGTTGTTTGTGCCGCGTTAATTTTATCAATAAACCTCTGTGTAAGAAATGGTTTTGGTTTCACAACACGACCATTTACAACGGCCAAAGCTAAACAAACGACGAAACAAAGACGAAGAAACATTCTATGTTGCTTTTAACACAATATGTTGTCGACAAGTAAAATTTAAGACTAAATAGTCTCAATATATATATACAAGATAAGAATGAAATTAATTTTTTTTGCTATGTATTGCTCACTCATAGTGATGATAAGTCATTTCTTATTATCTTTTTTTTGAAGATATGATGTTGTCGCAAGGATTCGTCTCTTATCTTTGTGAAAAACAAGAGATGGTATATTTCAAGGGCAAAATCAAACAAAAGAAGGGTTTTGTGTCGTTTGTTCGGTGACAAAAAATCAACCTATATAACATCGAAATTTCGAGAGCTTTCCAAAATTTCGACAACATCAAATGCATTTTTCGTTGCGAACTAGTTCGTAGACAAAGATTTAGACCTGATTGTTGAAGGTCATATTCTGTTTTTTGTCAATATTCGAATTGAGCTTGAAAATCATATTCAATTATTTATTTTTTCAATAATTAAATGAATAAATATATGAACAGCTCAAAAAGAAAAAGAAACAAGATTGAATAATTTCTTTTTAACTTGAAGGTCATCACAATCGTGGTTACACACGTTTGATGATTCAGTCAGAGGACGTTTTCATTCAATGCTGACAATTATATGAATATATTGCGTTGTCGTTTTACACACGACAACGATTATTTTTGCTCTCATCATACGACTCATCATTAAACATATACGTCTCCTATGCCACATTTGATCAATGTGAATGATATGAATCAGTTAGAAAACCAAATGAAACATATACACATTTACATGCACAGCAAATGATAGGTCTTATATACATTATCGTCTATAAACATACACCTACAGTTCTTGTTTCGAATTTTCATACAAAAAAACATCATTAGTTCTATTTTAATGATGATCATCATTATCGAAAGTAGTAGATGTAGGCGGAAAAATGAGAGAAAAAAAATCATATATACCGGCATAAGTAAACTATATTATTACTTCTATTTCTTTCATTAGCTATAGGCATGAGAAATACTAAAAAAAACAGATGTTCATCCAACTATAGCCCTAATCCACCAATAATGAACAATTCATGGTCGAACAGCTGAGTACTAAACTATTCGAAAGCGACACAAAATATATTAAAACATTATAGACATATAAGAGGTCAACGGATATTATATTCGATCTCTATTTATTCTTTCTCTTTCTCTTTATGCATGTCTTATTTCATTCAATCTCTGTCATATAATAAAGATATCAAATTTTTTTTTCATTCATCTCATTTTCTCGTATGTATTATAAAAACTCCTCTTAGTTTTTATCTTTTTTTTTACTCAATGAATAATAACAGATTAACATATTTTAATATAAAACTTCATTTGATGCCTTATTTTACTCTTCTCTATCGTTTCTTATATGTGTAAGTTCTAATAGCATATGTCATATATTTAGAAACAAAGATGGCAACATTATTTGAAAATTCGATCAGTCAAAATACAAGATGTTTTGCTTGTGGATCACTTGTCTATGCTGTTGAAAAGAAAATGACAACACATCATGTAAATCTTACTTTTTCTTTTATTAGAAAAACTAATTTATTTTTTCGAAAATTCTTTTTAGGTTTATCATAATCGATGTTTTCGTTGTCGTATTTGTAAACGAAATTTGACTGGATATTCACTCAATGAAGAAGGCGATGATATTTATTGTGGAAGTGAGTTTAATAATACTTTAACAAATACAATTAAATAATAATCTTTCTTTTCTTTAATTAGATTGTTATCGAAAAAAACAACGAGGTGATTGTGATAGTTTAGAATTTCATCGAGCAGCAGCTGAAAAAGCTCAATATGTTCATAATCGTCACCATTCAAATCAACCAAATTCATTAAGCAATCCACGGCCATCAAGTCTTCGCGATGTATCAAGACATCCATCATTAACATTGCGTCAACTTGAACGACGGTTTTTATCTCATCAACAACCGAACAGTAACAATAATAATGAGGTTTGATGAATTTCTCAAACATAAAAAAAAAATTATTTATTAACTTATTTTTATAGTCAAGAAACGACATAAATCAAAAATCTTTTACAAAATCTCATCCTTTAACAATAAATACCAGTTTTTCAACTCCAATTAATTTTCCATATTTTCGACGCGAGTCATCCGTGCCAAAAGAGGAATCAACTCTACGTTTTTCACCTATTTTTTCGCCAATGTCAACTCGTCGTATAGAAACAACGATTACGCCTCGTATAATACAAAAAACCAACGAAACTAAAACTCATGATGAACAGACTAAATCAATAATATTACCAACGAGTAACGCAATCTGTGGTATTGAATTTCGATTAAATAAAAGTAGTATCGATTTAACTAACATTGCATCACCACGCAGTCGTCAAAAAAGTATTATTGTACCAGACCTTAATCAAGATAACGAACAAAACGATGACAAATTTCTTTTTCCAAGCTTTAATATTAAAGCAATACATCGTCGAAGTAGCAGTGCTCATCATGTAATACATCCATCACGAATTGATTAAACTTACATATATTATGATACAAATAGAAGGATTGTATTTATTGATATTCTATGAATATTCGAATCTTTTTTTTTTTGTTCTTTGCATTTAGCAACAGTAAAACAGTGAAGTTCTAAAGAAAATATATAAATTGTATATCCAATCTTAGAATCATAGTCTAAAATAAGTAAAAATTTCATTCATACTAATTTATTATAAAGAGCAATGACTAATAAAAATATATAGAAGTTTAAATTTTCAAATTCTTTTTTCTCATCTTCGCAAGATTTAGCAGTGTGTTACTTTAGAACAGATCTGTTGAAAGCTAATCGAATATAACTGTAAATAATTATTTGTAAATACAAATGGAATTTTTTTCAATCAGAATCAGAGATTTCCTACGAGAATATCAATATGGTATGACAAAATTGTTTTGAGGACCTTGCGTCTTAACATTTTCTGTTTCATATACCTATGGCTACTACTGTGTATTTTTTTTTCTGAATCAATGTTGATAAAGAAGGTAGTTATGTACTTAATAAAACTGATCGTAATTGGTAATGACTTGTACCTTCTCTTCAAATCATAACATTTTATTATAAATATTGACCGATAAGAAAAGTATAATTCTTTAAACATTGTAGTCTGTTAATGAACGACATCTGTCAATGGATAAATAACCAATTGAGAAAACTGTCCGAGAAGTCTAACTGATAGAATTTGATTTGATCTTTATCCATCTACTGATATTATAATCGACACGTTTTGTTTATTTATTTGTTTTATTTAAAAGTAAAGTTTTTTCAAATTTGTGTTTTTTTTTTCATTTGATCATTTTATTCAAATTATCCAATAGACATTATCATTTCTAGTGATGATTAAGACTGAGAAAAAAAAAGACTAATTAACAACATCCATGCCATCAAGATCGAATGAGTCAAAAAGAATACAGAATAAATAAATGAAATATTAAATTTGCACATCAAGAAATTATTTCAACGAAACAAAACCATTCTTATCATGTCATCAAAATTTGAATGACGAACGATGATGAATATGGATCGATGATATACTAATATTGACATATTCATTGAAATGATTGGTGTTTCATGTCGAGCTACTCAATGTCAAGTATTGTTTTAGAAAACATTTCGAACAATATTATCATAAACATTGAAACTATAAGCAAAGATTATGATCTATTTTAAAATTGATTATTTCCGATAAGCGTGAAAACGAATCTATAATTTATTCATTGGTTATTTTAATAATAATTTCAATCAAATTACTGAAATGCTGTTTGGTCTTGTAGGTTAGCTCTAGGTAAATAACACAATAAATAAAAAGAAATTATTCATTCGTGTCATTTTTTTTTTCAGACAGTATCTATTTTAAAACTTGTCATCGAAAGGAAAATAGTTAAAGTAAAAGCAATGCGTAAGTTAGAAAGTAAAATTTGTACTATCACGATTTACATGTTGATAGAAAATTTTGTTAAAAATATTTTCTTTTTTTTGTCTTTTTATTTTTCAATAGCGTGAAAAGTTTTTATTTTTCAGATTTCTTTTTTTTTTTGTTTTTAAATCTATTAACTATAATAAGACAAACCATGTCATCAGAACAAAGCGGAAATCCACTTCGAAAATTTAAACTTGTATTTCTTGGCGAACAGAGCGGTAAGAATGTGCAATGTTTAATATAATATTGTAATATTTTTTTCTTTTCTATGTTTAGTCGGAAAGACTTCATTAATAACACGTTTTATGTATGATAGCTTTGATAATACATATCAAGTAAATATTGGTAATTTTATTAAAATCTCATTTGAATAATATTATTATAGGCAACAATTGGTATTGATTTTCTTTCCAAAACTATGTATTTAGAAGATCGAACTGTTCGATTACAATTATGGTAATAAATTTATCTTTCATATAGAATTTATAATTTTATATTTTATTAAATTAGGGACACTGCCGGACAAGAACGATTCAGGTTAAAAGTTTTTTTCATCTTTTCTTATTTTTATAAAATAATTCTTTTTATTAATAGAAGCCTTATTCCAAGTTATATACGTGATTCTACTGTTGCTGTAGTTGTTTATGATATAACAAGTAAGAATAAATAAATAAATATAATATATTGATAATTAGATGTTGTTCGTTTTTTTCTTCTCCAGATTCGAATTCATTTCAACAAACATCTAAGTGGATTGATGATGTTCGTACAGAACGTGGTAGCGATGTTATAATAATGCTTGGTAAGATTTTTTTTAATTTGATTGATTACAATTAAATGTGTTTATGTTTTTTTTTAGTCGGTAATAAAACTGATTTAGCTGATAAAAGACAAGTAGCAACTGAAGATGGCGAAAGAAAAGCAAAAGAATTGAATGTTATGTTTATTGAAACAAGTGCCAAAGCAGGATACAATGTTAAACAAGTATGATATTATTTAATTAATTATAAATTAATTATAAATTTTGGTTTTTAGCTATTCCGACGGGTA